GTGCTGCTGCTGCTGCTGCTGCTGCTGCTGCTGCTCCTGCTGCTGCTGTGGCTGGTTAGTTAAGTCGATGTCAACATTACGCCTGAGCACATAACAGCAAATAGCAGCAGCAGCAGCAGCAGCATACAGCTACAAACAGCAACAGCAGCAGCAGCAGCAGCAGGAGCGAGAGAGAGGGGCAGCTCACTCGGGGAGGGAAACCATCAGGCTATCCCCAGGAGACAGAAGAACGCCACCAGGGTGCTGCTGCTGCTGCTGCTGTTGCTGCGGTTGCTGCTGCTGTTGCTGCTGCTGCTGCTGCTGCTGCATCTGCTGCACCTGCTGCTGTTGCATCTGCTGCACCTGCTGCTGCTGCTGCTGCATCTGCTGCACCTGCTGCTGCTGTATCTGCTGCATCTGCTGCTGCTGCTGCTGCAGCTTCTGGTGGATGGGCGGATGCCGCTTCGGTGGCAGCAGTTGCTGCTGCTGTTGCTGCTCCTGCTGTAGCAGAAGCTGTTGTTGCAGTTGCTGCTGCTGCTGCTGCTGCTGATTGCTGCTGCTTGCTGCAGTTTGCTGCTGCTGCTGCTGCTGTGTTTGTACCCACTGAGGCCTTCGCTCAGACTCAGCAGCAAATGCTGTTGTTGAAGCAACGACAACTTCTCCGTGCTGCTGCTGCTGCTGCTGCTGCTGCTGCTGCTGCATCTGCTGTTGTTGCTGCTGCTGCTGCTCCGCCTGCTGGTGTGTGGCTTCGGCTGCATGTTGCTGCTGCAGGTTGAGCAGTGCCTTCTCTTGCAGCAGCATCTGCTGCTCCTTTGACCTGTCTTCCTGTTGCTGTTGCTGTTGCTGCTGCTGTTGCTGCTGCTGCTGCTGCTGCTGCTGCGTGCTGCTGTCTGCAGCAGCAGGAGGCGACGGTGACCTCACGAAGCTGTTTCTAATCCTAGAGGTAAATTGCTGCGGCAGCTGCAGCGAGTGAAGGGGCCCCAGGTGTAGCGGCAGCAGCCTGGGGGCCCCCCAGGGGGGGCCCCCCCAGGGGGCCCCCCTTGGGGGCCCCCAAAGGGGGCCCCCTGGGGGGCCCCAGGGGGGCCCCCACCCCCTGTGTGAGGATGGAGAGAAAGGAGAAAGAGGAGAGAGAGGAGAGAGAGAAGCAGGCAGAGAATCTAGCTGCTGCAGTGCTGCGTCGATTTGCTGCTGCAGCGCAGCAACAGCTTTGTGTGCTGCTAGCAGCAAACGACGGACACTATAACCACGATATGCAGCCTGAGAAAAAGAAAAAAGAAAAGAGAAAAAGAAAAAAGAGAAGAAAGAAATAGAAAAGAAGAAACAGAAAAAGAGAAGGGAATGGGGGGGAGGGGGGAAATATAAAATAAAAAAAAGAAAGAGAGAAAAAAAAGAAAAAACAAAAGAAATATAAAAACAAAAGAAAAAGAAGAAACAGATAAAGAAAAAGAAAGAGAGAAAAAAAAAGAAAAAGAAAAGGAAATATAAAACAAGAAAAAAAAAGAAAGAGAAAAACAAGATAAGAAAAAGAAACATAAAAGAGAGAGAGGAGAAAGAGAGAAAAAGAAGAGAGAGAGAAAGAAAAAAGAAAAAAAAGAAGAGGGATAATAAAAATAAAAAGAGAGAAGAGAAAGAAAAAGAGAAAAAAAAGAAAAAAGAGAGAGAACAGAAAAAACAAAAAAAAATAAAGGGACACAAACAAAAACAAAAAGAGAAAGAAATACAGAAACAGAGAAAAAACAAATGTATATATATATATATATATATATATATATATATATATATATATATATATATATATATATATAT